ACGAGGCCCACATCAACTACTGTTGGGTTCCATCTGAACTTGGGCCTATTTTTTTCTGGGCCAATCAATGACCTCGCTCACGACAAAAATTGCTCAAAGGCCGAGCAGGCGAGCACACAATCATCATGGTTAACCACTTAATTGTCAGGCTTTGGTAATTAGGAACTCCATTTTAATATATGACTCATTTAACTTTTAAATTTATTTGAATCGATTATTTGTCTTTTCTACAAATATACTAATGCAATATTGATGGCAGATCCAATGATGCTCTTTTCACTTTACTTAACTAAATAATTTAATATATTAATATAGTTGTCAAAGCACCGTACATAAAATAAAAAAAAAGGGTGAATAGCTAATATGGTCCCTGAAGTTTATCTTTGGACTCAGTTTAGTCCTTTAAGTTTCAAATCGTCCAAACAAGTCCTCTAAATTAATTATTTGGGTTAATATAATCCTTAGACCCACAAAAAGTGCCACGTGAGCATGCCAAGTCATCCTCACATGCAGCGGTATAAATGAAATAACCATTCTACCCTTATATACCACATAGAAAAGAAAGAAAAAAAAGATAAATGTTTTCACACGTGTATGATCATTTTAGAATTATCATTTACGATTGTCGCTGACCTGTTATTTTTTCTGTTTGTGTTTTTTCTTTCTTTTCTATATGGTATATAAGGGTAGAATGGTCATTTCATTCATACCGCTATATGCGAGGATGACTTGGCATGCTCATGTGGCACTTTTTTTGGGTCTAAGGACTATATTAACCCAAATGATTAATTTGGAGGACTTGTTTGGATGATTTGAAATCTCAAGGACTAAACTAAGTCTGAAGCGAAACTTGAGTGACCATATTAGCTATTCACCCTAAAAAAAAGTAATTAAGGAAATGTACATTCCAGACCGCCCCAGGGTTATTGAAGCTAGCACACAGCATTGGCGATCTCTGCACGCACGAAACGATGTCAGAATCAGATCTCATCACGCACAAGAACTCAACTGCTAAAATAATCACTCGCAGATTGCATTGATGATGCCACCACTATGAATTTATCTATGCATATATTCAAAAATGAATTTTATATATACATGTATGCGTACGTACTAGTTAATGACAGTCAGAGAGAATCTCACCGGTCACGTAGTATACATATATATGTCCATGCATATAGTACAATCGTATAAAATTGACTTTGCACGCAAACAATATAATGTCCTACCTCCATATTTTTATTTTAATGTATAACGTCGTTAACTTTTTATCCAACGTTTGACCATTCGTCTTATTTAAAAATTTTATGTAATTATCATTTATTTTATTATGACTTGATTCGTCATCAAATGTTTTTTAAGCATGACATAAATATTTTCATATTTGCACAAAAATTTTAAATAAAACAAATGATCAAACGTTGGTCGAAAAGTCAACGGCGTCAAACATTAATATACGGAGGGAGTATTCAAGTTAATTAAGCTAGCCGACAAACAAGTTTGCATATATAAGCTGACAAGGATGACACATGACCAATTAATTTAATTGAAAAGAAATTAGACCGATGCAAAAGTAAACAACCGTTGCATTTTCAATCGACAGAACCTGAGCACCGGGGGTGAGCGCTCTGAATTTGATCTGAAGGTGTGAAAAGGGTAAGAAAATTATTGTCCGTATCGATATTGTTTCCATAAAAGTAATAGAAAAAATAGGAAAAAAAAAGTACGAATTACCCTGCCGAACTATTGCGGTCGACCGGATTATACCCCTAAACTCAAAAACCGGATATTTTACACCCTTAATTATTGAAACCGGACAAATAACCCCCCTAAACACTATTTTGAGCGGTTTTGACTAGAAATCACACACGTGACGCCAACGTGGCAATCCAGTCAGCAAAACAAAACAAAATAACTCCCTGGGCCCACTTGTCAGATTTATCCCTCAACCCCCCTGCTCTCTCTTGCGCATGATCTTGGACTAGTAGCCAGCGACAGGCGGCGGAGGCGGACCTCGCCCGGTCGGCAGCAGGTGGCGGAGGCGGACTTCGTCCGGTCGGCAGCCGGCGGTGGAGGCGGACCTCATCCGGGCGGCGGTGGCGGACTTCGTCCAGGCGGCCGGCGGCGGAGACGAGCCTTGCTCAGTCGTTGGGTGGCGGAGACGGACCTTGTCCAGGCGGCGGGTAGCGGACCTCGTCCGTCTTGGTTGAAGTCGATCCTCTCTTTGTCGTGGTCGGAGAAGATGCGGTCGCCGGGGCGGCCTCGAGCCCATGACGAGCTCCACGGAGATGGAGGCGTGCCAGTGCTCTCCTCTCCTCTGCACTCCTCTCTCTCCTCTCCTCTGCTCTCTGCTCTCTCCCCTCCACGCGCGCCACGGAGCCGGCGCGGCCCCTTCTACGACTCCCGCAACCACCTCCCCACCGTTGGGAGCCGCGGCGGCGAGCCGATGCACGAGTGGTCCGTGAGGAGGCAGTCGTGCGAACAGGACCGTGTCGGCGCCTCGTCGACCTCTGCCCAGGGGCGAAGCTACATGCAGCTATGGGGGTTCCTAGGAATCCGGGTAAGAGAAAAGTTTTAGCTATGGTTACCCCGGAGCCGCCTGCCTGCGCGTGCACACGGGAGAGAGAGAGAGTGTGACCGGGGGGAGAGAGAGAGGGGTATTACAGGTGGGCCCAAGGGAGGCATTCTTTTTTTTATTTGCTGACTGGATTGCCACGTAGGCGCCACGTGTGCAAACTCAAGTCAATATTTTAGAGGTGCTTATATAAGGTGTGCATATTTTGTATTCATATGAGTGAGTGTACACATATTATAAGTGTCTATAAACTTTATAGACGTTTCTTTTAAAAAAAAGTATGCAAGAATACTCGAAGAAAATTGGACATGTTGTAACCATAGGAACATAATTCCTAAAGTATTGCATAAGTATCAATTAATCTTATAGGGTAAACAATACTAGTAATAATATTAATTTTGTCTAAAGTGTGACGATGATTACTTCAGTCTGATATCAACTTCAAAAAATAACCAAATCTAGTTTAACTGCCCAAGTATCGAGGCTAAAGCATCTCTTGCATATACATTGACACGGATCCTCTGTCATACTATATCTAAAGTAGCAGTGGCTAACAAGTAAACCCACATATCAGTGACAACTATTACATATGTCAAACTACATACAATCCTTACTGGTACATACCACGTTTGAAATTCTTGTCAAGCTGAATCATTTTTTGGTTAGCTAGCTAGGTATGGTAGCTTCAAAAAATTACTTCCTCCGTTTCACGATATAAGTCATTCTAGCATTTCCCACATTCATATTGATGTTAATTAATCTATATATGTATATATATATATATATATATATATATATATATATATATATATGTCTAGATTTATTAACATCAATATAAATGTGAAAAATGCTAGAATGACTTACATCGTGAAACGGAGAGAGTAATTCCTCAATTCAGCCACGTCGCATGAAAACTTCAAATTTTATAGGTATATATGTAATGAACGAATAATAATCAGCTTTACCTGACTGATTATTGAATATATTGATTGATTCGAAGCTTAAATAGCGTACACGGGTGAACAGTGTGGGATCGTGTGCTGCAGCTGCATGTCCCGATGGATGCATGCACGCATCGATCGGCACATGAAATTTCGTGCCTATTATTAGATCACCCACAATGATAAAGTAAGTTGCTCTCTATAAAACATGTACATCTCAGCAATAGACTAGATTAATAGTAAACCACCTCAATGGTATGTCTATATGGGTATCTATAGTTCTCTAATACATTGTCCCGTTTTTCTCTATAGACTGTCTTCAAGTTAGTAGATAGTTTTGCTCTCTCTTTATTTAATCTCTTCCAAGTAGTAAAATATGCTGACATGGATCTCTTGTAGAGAGCCTATAGATAACCATTGTGGGTGCCTTTATACTTTTATTTTTTTCCTTATTTTTTTCATAGCCGGGAATTAAGCAGCAGGGCACGTGCCACGCCACGCCATGATGCATGCATGCATCGAGCAAATTAAACAAAAATTAATATATGCATCAACTCGATCTCACTCTGCCTTGCAATGCCCTGCCTTGCAGTGTTAGCAACCCTAAACTGATCTTTACTCTACGTTTCTTCTTCCATTAATTTCTTCTCCCAAAAGCAACGTGAATACATACATCTTAATTAATTAATTAATTACAATTAACAACAAGAGGAGCGGAAAAGCAGCTTACTGACAACTAATCACATCAAATTAACAAGATCATCGCTTAATTACTTTTGCCAATTGGTTTGTATTGAACGTTGTTTTGATCATGAGAAAATTCATTGGCAGGGAAAGCAAGCGGCCATTAATTAGGGTTCTAAGTTTGGGGGGTGACGTATACTAATTCCATTAATTACCCACCCCCACCACAAGCACTTTAAATATGTTATCTTGCTGCCATAAAATAATCGCCTTCCAAAGTAGGGATTATACGCCAGTCATGTGTAGTAATTTAATTTACACCAAACCAAAAACACATCACATCAGGACAAAACAGAAGAGGAGAATACTTAATCGATTTTGCTATATCTCACTCGAAAGATTTTTTTCTTATCTCTCACTCGATTTTCTCACTCAAATTTACAGTGCATTTTCTTGTAAGTTACAGTGTAATTTATAAAACTTACACTGTAACTTTTGTAAGTTACACTGTAATTTTTGAATCTTCACATGTAAATTTTAAATTTTGTATTTGATTTGGTCTTTTTCTTGAGGATATGGTAATTTAATGTTCATTATGGTGTTTCTTAATTGCTTTTTGCTTTTTATTATATCTATCGAATTTTAATACAAAGATTAAAAATCTGTGTGATACGATTATAAAAATCTTTCGAAAGATGTATAGGTACTCCCATACTTAATTTAACCGAGAGATATGCATGCCATGCATGCATGGGTGTAACACTACCAGCCAGAAGCTGCTGTTAAAAAAAAGGTTGAAATAATAAAAACAGTAAAAAGATAAACATTGAACTAGTAGTACTGTTTAATAATCACATTTAGATCCAGGAATTTTCTCACAAACCCCTTTGATTTCCAGAAGAACACATGAGCCCAAACAAAATTTAGTATTATTTCGGCGTGGAATTTTTCACCCCACCCCCTCTAGATTTCTGAAATGGCGGAGATAACCCAGCTTATGTACATGGAAGGCATGGAGCTAAGCCATGGTAGAGAGGATAGGACGGAGGAAGACGACGATGGGACACGTGGCGGCCCCGCGGGCTAGGTGCAGAGGGCGCCGACCTCTCTGAGGCGCGGGACGAGGCGGCCGCTGAGGTGGAGGCCCATGAGGCCCTCGAGGCCGCCGACGGGGTCGCCGCCGACGAAGAGCGCGGGGAGCGCGGCGCCGCCGCCCAGCGCCGCCTCCTCCTCCTCCGCCGCGCCGCCCTCCAGCTCGATGACGGTGGCGTGCGCGCCGACGGCGGCGAGGAGGCGCCTCATGACGTGCGCCATGTAGCACCCCCGCCGCGCGAACACCACCACGGGGCTCTCCCGCACCAGCCGCCCCACCCTCTCGGCCGGCGCCTCCTCCTCCCCCGCCGGGTCTATCGTCAGGCTCCCCCGCCGCATCATCCCCGCCGCCGCCGCCACCGCCTGCATCTCCGGCCGGCCACCGCGCGCACCGTGAAATCAAAAAACACGAAAATAGCGGCGGCGGCGGCGGTGGCGCGCGCTGTCTCTCACCTCGCCGTCGATCCGGAGAAGGGGGTGTATATATAAGCTGGAGAGGGGGGAGACGACGAGAGCACATGGGGGAGGGTGACGTCACGGGAGGAGGAGGAGGTGGGGCCCTGGGTGGCGTCTCGTGGCCGGACTATGGAAGCGGCCATTAATAACTTGTCGAGGTGACGACGACGACGCATTGAGCTAATCGTGGAGGAGAAATTAAAATAGTTTAAATTTGATTTAGAGATTGACCTGACCCGGCCTGATTAAAATTTTCTTATCTCTGTCCTGTTTGTTTCGTTAGTGACAGAAATTTTATCGTTTTTATTATTGGGATCCACAGTTTCGTCTGTTTATTTTTAATTTAGCGAGGAAGAGAGATGGAACAAATCTGGTGGCTGATGTGTATGCTGGGCGCCATCGGAATTCGACGACGGCAGGTAGAGTAGATTGTTCCTCAGCACATGGCATGCAACTGGGGGTCATCATCTCGTCAAACAAAGAACTGTACTGTGCCACGTAACGTCCGTGTCACTGCATGCTCAGTAGTACATGCTAGCAGAGCTGGAGCTGAGGTGAGGTTAGCAATTACTCTCTCCGTTCAAAAAAAAACATGATTAATATTTTATGTGTCCGTCTTATATAAATTTTTTTTATAATTAGTATTTTCATTGTTGTTAGATGATAAAACATGATTAATAATTTATGTGTGAATTATCTTTTTAATTTTTTTCATATTTTTTTTAAATAAGACGGACGGTCAAATGTTAGACACGGAAAGCAGAGTTTGTCTTTTTTTTTTTTGATGGATAGAGTAATTAATGGTCGGCTGGCTCAGTGGCAGCTAGCTAGCTGACGACGTCACACAACTGGAGCTGGGCTAGCTAGCTTAGCTGCCGTTGACGTCGCTGTTTCCGCCGCTCCGGCGAGGGATCGAGATCGATCGCCGACGTCAGGGCATATATGCATACTGCATACATGGAGGTAGGTCGGCAGTGGCGACGACGACAGTGGATGGATGGTCCACGCGCTCACGGCAACAATGGATGGAACAGAAGCTAATGGAAGTAGTTTTCTTGTGATCTTATCCCGGCCGGCCGCGCCACTGCAGTGATCAATCGACGATCATATCATATCATATCGATTTGGAGGCAAGAATAATGCGAGTGCGCGCGAGATCCACGTTTCGTTAATTGGAGGGCTTAATTAATTGCATTACTGGGATGGAGCTTAATTTGCAAGCATTTCACTGATAGATCGATCGGTACTAGCTTAATTAGTTTGCCGTCAACTTTACTCTTTCGTTGGTCTAGCAGCGACCGGTCACGCTTAGTGGCGGTCGGTTCGGTGCTAGCCTTCTTCTGGGTCTATGTATTAGTGTTGTCGGTACGTGGGTCATTTTTTTTCTTTTTTCTTGGTTATGATCTTCCATGGTTATAATTTTGTAATTTTTTTTCTGTTCTATCAATATAAATTTCACACTGTCTAATACAAGTCATTAGAAAAAGAGATAGATAGATAGATAGATATTGTGCAATTTGATTGGTTGTTTTCAGGAAATGAAGTGGTTATGTCTCAGGGTCTCATTAATTGTTCACTATATGGGTTATAAACCACTATACTAAAATTCAAATTTTCAATTTTAAAATTGATTTTGATGTTTCTTACATATTTTCAGTACTTATTTTTAAGTCGCTAAGATTATATATATAAAAGTTTTATCTATAAAATACTTTTCAATCACTAATTGGTTATGGTTTATACTAAATCATAGGCAATCAATAGACTAGGTCCTCAGCCATCAATAGTGCTACGGCCAAGCTACACAACCCAACGAATCACAGAGAGATATAATTCTTCTTCTTCCTCCTGTCCTGCGAGAATCTCCTTAATTGCCCACAAATAAATATGACTAGTACGTTAGTGGAGCAGTAACAAAGATTTATTCAGTGAGGTTCTAGCTTGTGATTCGTAGATTAATTTGTTCTGAACATGTTTTGGAGGTCAACGCCAACTTTATGTGTGTGAGGTCGTCGTACGTTTTAATTTCGAGATTCTCTGCTTCCTTTTTATGCTACCAGTACAAGATCAATGCGTCTCATCGATATATCAATGTATCTCGACTAGAAATTAATCGCACCAATCATGGACTTTCGTCATGCACGGTCCATCGTCGAATTATTGCGTTTCTAGAGGTCGATCGGCTTTCGTCACCATGCACGTACTAGCAGGCCACCACCACGTACACCACCATCTTCTTATTGTGTGGGGCTACTGACTACTCACTCCGTATTTTAATTAATGTACGACGTCGTTGTCTTTTTAAGTAATGTTTGACTATTCGTTTTATTCAATTTTTTAAAAAAAATATGAAAATGTTTATGTTATGCTTAAAGAACATTTGATGATGAATCAAATCACAATAAAATAAATGATAATTACATAAATTTTTTGAATAAGACGAACGGTCAAACGTTGAACAAAAAGTCAACTGTGTCAGACATTAAAATATAGAGGTAGTAATTATTAAGTGCATCTATATATTTTCTCCTGCATGTATACTATAATTGTAATAGAAAACGGCGGATCAGCAAGCTTTTTTGGAACACAAATTAATGACTAGTATTTTCAAATTTCAATGTGTGTTACAGTTTCCATGGTCTTCTTCAGCGCTGAGCGAGCTTCCAGATAGGTCGGCAGCCACTCAAACTCATCATCGTTGATGTATCCATTAGATAGACATCAATTAACATTCAGAAAACTTATCGATCACCGAATAAAACTATTAGTTGTTCAGGTTTGATGGCACTGCTGTGGCTTCGCCATTGGATGAAGACATGCCTGTGAACGACAAAAGAACTTAATTAGACGTGGAAAATATTGTAAGTAAAGGATATATAAAGTACTGCAGTTAATTTCAACAATTTTCAGTCGGCCATACAGACAAATTAAGTTAATGTGATGGCATTTTCTATTACGAAAACAAATTAGCATCAAAATTCAGTTAGGAATTTCGGCCACTGTTTTTCATCCCCTCATCCATACATAGAAAAATCGTCGGTTAAGAAAACTTATCAAATGTTATCAATTTCTTGTCATAGTCTTCTAGTACATGCCCTTGTGATCAGCGATTATATTACTTAGAAGTTGGTTCTTTTTTCCTTTTTTACGGAGAGGGGACAAAGAGAATAGTTTCATTTTGAAGATAACACTAGTAACTACAACTAATCTTCCCAAACCAAGTATGCGCATTGACATTATCAAATATTTGGGAAATTTAAAAGTAAATAACATTGAAAAACATCATTGGTGTGGTGGTGGTGGAGTGATTGGTTCGATCGGGTTCAAATCTCAGTGTTTATAAATATGTCAGTGTGCATCCTTAATACCACCTCCATTCCAAATTAAACATAACAACCTACTAGTACTACTACGAATCTGGATATGCTTCATATATATAGATAGTACTACAACGTGTTTTATCCAATATTAGATTAATATATAGATAGTACTACAACGTGTTTTATCCAATATTAGATTAATAGGTTGCTATATTTTAGGACGGTGATAGTATTGATGCAGAGGCTAGAGGCCAGAAGTTATATTTCCATTAAAAAATAACTCAAGGATCATGATCTTAATTAGGAATACGAGTCGATGGGAATTTTATATGTGGTGGGTTGTACTCTCACTATTCCATAATATAAGGCACGATCAAACTTGGTATGGTTTACAAAATTAATCCTTAGCTTATAATTTTTCATATATTATAAGATTTGTAATAACCAAATTATAACCATATAGAAGTACATTCAAATACCAATCCAACGATAATTTTCAGCAAATAAAATTCAGTTCATATAATACTAACCGTTGATCAATTCTTATAAAAGTTAAATTTTAAAATATGTACGCATCTTATGTTATGAGATGGAGTAGCACACAACTGTAACATGTACAAAGCTGGCAAATGCACGGCAGTCAATCTGCATCGACACAAATGTTGGAGAGACTTAATTAGCTGGATCCCTATCAGCAGGACCTCCTTTGGGGGGGGGGTTATGAAAATCTAAATCAGAAAAATAATATGTTCAATCTTGATCTTGAAAAAAAGAGGAAAAAAAATCACTCAGTTCACAAATCGTCCCAAGTGGAACTCTGGAAGTAGGCCTTATAAGCTGTTGGCTATCAAATGAGTTGGACCGTATGTTGATCCAGCAGATATATATGGGCTGAAAAATACTGGTATTGGGCTAGAGACCATACAACTGTTAACCAGGCTCCAAGCGACCAAGCTGCCAGCTTTTGGGTTTAAGGACTGGTATTGGGCCGAAAATTATCTCCACTACTAAAGTTTGGTAATTCGATCTAGAATATTTCACTCACAAAATCTTGGCAAAAGTTGTTAGAGGTATAATATGTTAGTTAGAGATAAGAGTCAAAAATAAATTATAGAGATAAGATATATCCTAGAGAAGTAGAGATAGAATCCTATAGATAAGGTACAGTTCTAGAGATAGAATCCTAGAGATAAATCTACTCTTACTTGTATTGTACTATAAGTCTCTATCACATATGTACTCCTATATATATCCCATGAGATAATAGATGTAATAGACGAGAAAACATCAGAATACAACATATTTGAAAAAAATTCCTAGATTAAGTAATGATTAGCATTAGATTAGATCTTCATTAGCTCCATGATCCTCATGAGCAGAAGCAGCAAGCCAACAACCACAACCATTGTCATGCGCATGCATGCATGGATCGTGTGGCACATCCTCGGGAAGGCACGAGAAGGTCAAACTTCGGTGCACAGGCGCACGGACCTCCCCGCGCACGACTTCATCTACACCGACAGTACTGATCATCATCAGCCGTACGACTGCGCAATTGTCTTCGCCGATGCAACATCGCCGATGGTCTTCATCAACAAGGGAAACACGCCGCCGCCACTTGTCCACAAGGATGGACATCCCGCGTCCTCTAACAGATTAATCTGCAAGACGCTTCATCAATAACATCGACCGCGTTCTTTACGATGGCAACGACCGCGTCACCGACGACGGCATCGATCACGTCATCTACGACT